GCATACTTGCCACTCTGATAATGCAGTTATCAGTTAGACATCAGGAAGAGGAAGTATGTCAACAGGGACCTCCACACTTTCCTCTGCAGGCCTGTTAATCTGCAGAGCTCACTGAAGAGCCTCTCATAGCTTCAGGGTGCGACAACAAGCCAATAGAGTGGAATGTAAATTATGCTGTCCTTGGTATGAATAGAAGTACACACTAGTATTTCACACCGACCCCTGGTGGAGGCAAGAGATGAGTGGATGTGCTTGGCAGCTGAAGGGTTTCGAGTCTGACACCAGATCTCCTGAGTGTGGCAACACAAGTCTCTCAGAGCAGGCCAGAGAAACGCTGTCACCTGATAGGCTTTAATCAACAAGGATACGTCTTCTCACAAACACACGTACAGAGACACACACATGGGATTCCAGAGTTTTAACCTTGTATGCGGGGTCACAGAGGTGCTGCTGGTATCATGCCACCTGCGTTGACCTTTAGCCTTCGTTTAGCCTCATTCGGTATACTGCCCTACAACGGCAAAGTGCAGTGGCTACATATTTGGTCAAAATTTAGTAGAGGCCTAAAATGGGCTCTGTCTTGTGACAAAGGCTCAATCCTAATTCTATTTTTGAAAGAAAAAGGCTTCAAAATTTACCCCTAAGAAATGAGACAGCATTGCAGCAGCTGTACACGTCATTATATGTCATCGCGATCTCTTGCTTTATATGAGATCAGACGATCGCGACTGCTGTAGTGATTCCAGTTGAGTTGTTTTTTGTGTTGTTATCTTAAGGAAATGACTAAAGGCATATATTATGCTATCATAACGATCTAATGTGGCAATAAGCTCATAACTGTACTGTATATTTACACAATGGCCATATTCATCTATGTAAACACACCAAAAACAACATTAACATCATAGCAAACTGTAAAAAGCTCATTCCCAGCCACTAGACTTTTCTGACAGGCTATTCTAGTGTCATCGAGTTTCAGAATGTTGTGGGTCTGCTATACAGGAGTTATTATCATGGATTATAAACAGCAAAATTTTACGTTTTTTATTTTATTTTATTTTTTATTTTTTGACTGTAAAACACAAATGTGGCTATGAATATATTAAAACATGTTCTTTTTTTAAGTAAAAAATTTGTAATAATGACAAAAAATACAAATTTTTGGATCTCCCTACTTCCGGATGCAGCTATCCTGCCGTTGTGGCTGGTGTATTCTTGCAAATTTTCTTACCTCTTGGTTTCGAGTGTGGTCCTGAAAAATCTTTGTTCGAAGGGCTATCTAGCCCTTCCCCTTAGCCCTACGCCTTCAAGCTAAAGAGAACTGGGACACCCCTACCCCTTCACAGCAATGCGCAAAATAAGGGGTAGGGGTAAGGGGAAGGGCTAAGGTGTAGAATTAGGATTGGGCGAAAGTCTCAGTTTTGTCTATTATGAAAACAAGACTGTCAGCATTGCAATAATTGCAAAGCCCAATTAAAAGTTAAGATTTTTGCTTTCACTCATCAGCAATGTTTAAAGGGGTGGTCCAGAGCGAATTTTTAAGGCTTGAAATTGTTTGTAATATGCAAAGCAATGTGTGCTCATGCTTCCTTTGTAAAAATTACATTTTTTTTTTCATATATATTATAAAATTATATAAAGCTACTCAGCTAACATGAAAAAATGACTGTCATATTTCCTAGTTCCATAAAAGCGTGTCCTTAAAGGGCTCTGATTGCTCAGCTAACATGATGTGCTGAGATTTGCAGTTCAGCTCTACATCACCAGAAAGTGTCATGCCTTTACTAGCACGCACTTTGCTGTTGTATAAATATTGTCAGTCAGTGTAATTGTTAGCCATATATGTTTGAGCCTGAATCTGACATATAATGAAGAGGACACAGCTGAACCTCATAACTGCTCTCTAAAATTAAATATGACAATTGTCTTTCACATACTTTCTGGTTATAAGCATAATATGAAACATTCACATATCTTTTGTGAGTTTGTTTTTTGAGATGTAGAACGCAGGGAAAGTGGCTGCGTAGAGAGACACTGCAGTGCTGGGGTAGATTGTGACTGTTTACAGCTGTTTGACTGATAAATATGAATTTGTAGCTAAATTGTTAACAGTGCCAAACAACATTTCCTATTGTTTACATCCTTGTTTAGATCCTTGCTACAACATATCATAACACTAACTTAGCATGTAATAGATAAATTTTAACAAATAAAAAACTTACAGGTTGTGGCTCACAATCCACAGATTCTGCTATCATAGTTGAGCTGCTCCTCCTTTGAGGAGTTTATAGCTGATTCCAAAACTGAACTGGGAGATTTTGGAAGCTGTCCTTTGTCAAATGCTAGCTATATATTTTTTTATAATTCTCTGGAAATTAAATTTTAAGCACTTCTGTCTTGTGTCGTGTCCTTTTGAAGCCTAAATACAGAAACAGAAGAAGTTCTGTGGAAATAGCAGTGTTTAGACTGCATTTTAGCTTTCTCTGCTATAACATTACAGCGCATCTGGCCACACCCCTTCACTGCGCAGGGTGTATGCACGGAACCTGAAGGGTTTAAGATCTCATTAACCCGGATGTATTTCTTTGTAGTCTCCAAACTTTGCTTGCCGTATGCTTTGCTAGGCTAACTCTGTAAAAGCCAATGTCTCCCTTTGCATTGAACTTTGAGTGTCTTACATTTAGAAATGTTATGTTCACACAGCTACATTATCAACTAAAAATTGTAAATATGGTTTCATAGTGGACCACCCCTTTAGGCCTAAAGACTAAACAAAGTGCACAAATATGTGTTTACCAATGCACAAAACACAAGACGTAAATCCATCATTTTAAAGTAAATCTTTTTTTCTTTTGAGGCATCGTAATAAAAATTAGTCAATGGATGAGATTGAGGCGTGAATGCCTTGAGCTGCTGCAGTTACAGTAAAACACAACTCGATAGCACAAAACAAGCACACAGGAAATACAGATTAAATATGATTCAAAGGAGACAATATCACTTCGTTTTTCTTTCATGGCTTGACAAGTTTGACAAGTTTTTCCCACAAACCTGACCAGATGTTTCCGGGCTGTAGTGGAAAAGGTTTAACAGAAGGTTAAACAGAAGTGGAAAACCCTATGCAATAAATTCATGAGGATAAAGATTGAGTGTGGCTTCATATGTGCAACTAGTGAGTGTCACATGTGGGGGGGGAATATTGGTTTATGTTCAATCCAATCTAACATCAGAGAATGATTTAGCATATTCACTCTGCTTATCGCTCTCTGACTTTGCATGGCATTAAATAAAAAACAGCAATAATGAAGCAATTTGAGAACAGTAAAGCCCAATAAATAAAGAGAACTCAAACCAACTGAGTACTGTAAAACCCAATAAGTTAAGGCCACTCAAACCATTTGAGGAAAACGATTGCACCAAACCATGCGATTTAAAAAAACTTTATAGAAGTACCATGAACAAATTCCATTTAAGTTAAAGTAATGAGGCATTTAATTAACTCATTAACCTCAACACTGAGTTCAAAACTCTTTTCAAATAAGTAGAATTAACGTTCAGTAAATTTTGAGTTAACTACACTCAAAACACTCTACACTCATTTATTTAATAAAGTTGACTGTTGGGTTTTACAGTGTATCAATGCTACTAGTAGAATAGTACCATGGTAGATACCCAGAGTGACGTTCGAAAATTCAAGTAATAGTCAAATAACTGAGAACAAAACAGTGAAGCAGTTCTTTCCACATCTATTATTTATCCAAATAATATATTTTTTTATGAGATGTCATAATTTTTCATTAGCAGAAGTTTTCACTCCAAATGCTTGAAATCACAAAACAATGGTTCTACCAAACATGGTTTAAATAACAGATGTATGACACAGTTCAGGATACAGTCAGACTAGCTAGATTTTTCATCACTGCATCATACTATGGTAGTTAAGCAGTATCTCATTGTTCTGGAAATATACCCCATAAACTAGCCAGAATCGAGCAGCAGAGACATACAGCCTATGTTCAGAAAGCGGAGACTTTAAAATAAAGCAGCTGACTCAAATAAAATAAAATAAAAACTTCTAGCCTGGTTGATGTAATTCATCAATGATGAATGAGTTGTGCCACTTCAGCATATAAAAATGGCTCTCCGCTCAGCTAATGTAACTGAGTGCAAGGTATAACCTAAACAGAAACCAGCAACTTGGCTTGTAGCAACGGATCTTTACCAGACCCACCTAATTAATGATCTGAAGTCAAACACATTATTTATCAAGTAAATAATGCCTGGACAAATCCTTCCAACATCATTAATGAATTTTATACAGCAAAATAGTATAGAATCTGTTAAAAGACATTCATGAGTTTAGATGAGATCATGAACCACTTTGTTTCATCCAATTTCAACTTTGGTTGGTCATTTTACATGTTGGATCCTGCCTAAGTGGACTATATATGCTATTCAAAGTGGACCAGAATAACAGTCAAAGGTATGGCTTTGAGGTTAGGTGTGATTGTAATAAGCAGTTATCCATTTAGGGAGGAAATACAAATATGTAGTCATTCTGTTAAGACTCTAAATGGACAAGTAGAGGCATCCACCTGAGATTCCTGCTGAACACCTGCGCAAGCCTAGAAACATCACTGAAACAGCTTTGAGGTAAAATACCACATTAATGCATGCTGTACAAACATGACAAGATGAAACAGATGGTAATACTGTATATGCTGTATCACATTTTGCACGTGGCATTAAGTGAAGCACACTCTACAGGTCGGATGACTGTTCTCCTATGCATCATTAGCATCAGCGTTGAAGTCATGACCAGCTCATTTTGGCAGAGACAGAGACCAGGAGGAGGTTTCAGTTCAACTGACTGGAGTGTTATTATATATTGTGCGCCTAAATTATTTCAGTTAGGAGCACCGGTTAATTTAATTTTGAGGCCTGCTAATATAATGGTCTCAACTGCAACACTGCTAAGCCTGTAGCGGTGGCTATTTTACCTTCAGGACATCACTGGTTGAAGCTGCTCCTCCTGGAAAGATCTTCTCTATCTTCACCATTGGCTGCACCTTTGACTCAATCCCACCTGAGATGCTTATACCTGCACAAAGAACAACATAAATGATTTAACCATCCAAATGTTAACCGATCACTTTTAATGTCCTTAAAAGTAACAGGTACTTATTGCAATCCTAACTAAACATTTTTGGATGTCTGCAGATGATAAAGTTTAGATCTCTCCAATATTTGTTTTTTTAAGTCTGACAAAGTTTATGAGTTCGATTCTCAGTCCTATCAGCAATCTCTTCCATCATCTCTACCCACAGTGGAGGCACCTTTGAACAAATCACCTAACCTACAAGTGCTGCACACTGCTCCGGGTGTGTGTCCATAGTATGTAAGTGAATGTGTGTTCAATAATCACTGCTCCTAATGTGTGTGCACTAACTTGGATGGATTAAATGCAGATGACAAATTCTGAGAATGGGTTTTGTATAAATACTGTAGGCTTCAGTAACATTTTGAGTTAGAGGTTTAAAAAACCCCTAACCCTAAGAATTAAGCTTTGGCATGTAACTCATTGTTTATGTTTCTGACATGAAAGGGCCTTTGGAGGAGAGATTACTTATCTAAGTGATCAAACTTGTCCTTTTTGCTTTGTGAATAAGAAAAATCCCAATACAGAGGACAGGCCCAAACCAAAACTATGGATTAGAATATAATACAGATTGAGTTTATATGAAACCACCTAGCAACCTTCTAAAACAACCTATAAACCATGTACAAACATGAGAAACACATAGCAACCTGGCAACAAATCAAAACGCCCCAGCATTGAGATGACAACTTTTGCATGGAGAAGCTCAGCAAACAAACAGCTTAGGATGTTTGAAAAAAAAATTCAATATAAAGTCAAACATAATGGCTTCAAGTAACTCACCCAGGGACTGTTTAGTCTTTGAGATGGTTACCGTGGTTAGTACGTAGTCCTGTTCTGTTCTGTCTTGGCTGTCCGAGTGTCCATTCACTGGTTCTTTCCAGTGCTGTTCTGGGCTGGGCGCAAACACCTGGGACAATGGTGTCCTGCTCCGGCGGTGTGCACTCATTACAGTATACTTTACCTCTTTACCATTCAGAGATTTGTCTGTTTTCATTCTATGTCCATTCCTATAGGGAGACCTTCCTCGTTCTGGGACAGAATCACCCCTGCTGGAGAAAGAGTCATGGGGGAAACCATTGTCCCTTCTCAGGGGGGAACGTCCAGTGCGTTCTGTGCTGTAAGGGGACTCTGAGTGTGAAAAGCCGGACCGAGCAGGACTCAAAGAGCGATTACGGAGCGAGTCTGTGATGTAGGTGTCTACTGGTACATCCAAAAGAGGGGTGAAAGCTCGAGGAGGAGGAAGTCGTCCAGTCGGTAAACCTGCCAAACGCATTCGTTCCAAATCTTCAATGAGTTGTCGTTCCCTCTCCAGATCCTGCACCGGCTGAAGGTGAAATCCACCCCTGTAATCTTTGAGAGGATACAAGAGGATATTAAAACCATCTTGTTTGGATACATACATATGATTTTATTGCACATCTGTCTAGAATACTTGATTGTGATTGGTCAATTGCTGCATGATAATGATAAAGCTAAGTAGCATATTGCTTGCTCAGTTTAGGTCTGGCTAATTATTAGAAGGCAGTTTTCATGTGCATTATATTTAGTATGTACACAGTAGTACCATATACAGTAAAAAATGTCATAGTACACCAACAAACTAGGCAAAACCACATAAAAAATTTCAATCAATTTAATCAGACAATAATGCAACTGATATATTCGTTCTGTTATAATGACAGCTGTTTAAGTCACTTCTTAGTGAACTACGGCTCTGTGTAATAAATGCTGCTACATCTGAAAAAGCACATGAAAATACCACAACTTCAGTCAAGTGTTTGAAATAAATCCAAATATAGATGAGTCCGTGCTTGTGTGATTATTTCCAGCATAAACACAATGTCATAAGACAATAATATTAGGTTAGATTTACAGTGCATCCAGAAAGTATTCATAGCTCTTCACTTTTTTCACATTTTTTTTGTTAAAGTCTTATTTCAAAATGTATTAAATGTATTAAATTAAATTAATTTTGTTTCTTATGGTCTGAGAGTCCTTTAGATGCCTTATGGCAAATTCCAGATGGGGAGTGGCTTTTGTATGAACTCTCTACCAAACAGGCCTGATTGGTGGATTGCTGCACAGATGGTTGTCCTTCTGTTAGGTTCTCCTCTCTCCACAGAAGAACGCTGGATCTCAAACAGAGTGACCATAGTGTTATTGATCACCTCCCTGACTAAGGCCCTTCTCCCCCGATCACTCAGCTTAGATGGCCGGCCACCTCTAGGAAGAGTCCTGGTGGTTCCAAACATCTTTTACTTACGGATGATGGAGGCCACTGTCCTCATTGGAACTTTCAGAGCAGAAGAATTTTTTTCTGTAACTTTCCCCAGCCTTGTGCCTCGAGACAATCCTGTCTCAGAGGTCTACAGACAATTCCTTTGTCTTCATGCTTGGTTTATCATTTGACATGCACTATCAACCCTGGGACCTTATATAGGCAGGTGTATGCCTTTTTTATGTTTAATCAACTGAATTTACCACAGATGAACTCCAATTAAGAGATGTTTCAGCAGCTTAATTAGAGTTCACCTGTGGTAAATGTTCCTGAGCTCAATTTAGAGTTTCACGACATAGGCTGAGAAGACTTGTGTACATGTGATTTTTAAGGTTTTTTATTTTTAATAAATTGGCAACAATTCGTCATTGCCACATCCACACAGTCTAACATTGGACATTGACATCAGCCTGATTTTGGGTTTTGACGTCAATCCCTTTTTCATATCCAAGCAAAATACAACGCCCCACAATATTGGGGTACCACATCAATCTGAGATCATGTTGACGTCCTGTGTCTCCTGGGTTAGTCATGCTAAATCAATAAAGGCAGTTGAATCTTGTTTACAATAAAACCCAATGGGAATTACTTCTTCGTGGGTGTTTGGATTTTCTATGCGAGAGCACCCTCTGGCTTTCAAGATACTACTGATGACAAACATCACTGAGAATTTGGGTCTGATAATCGCAGCTTTGCTTAATCACATCTGCTTTCTTTGTAGAAGCTTTACAATCAGTGAGTTAATCAAATATTTTGACCCAAATCATTATTTTGCATGAGATCCCTATGTATGTGGTAAGTAGCTGTGTAATAAACAGGATCATGTACATCTAACTGATTGTTATTACAAAATAAAACCCCTGAGGGTGATCAAGACCTCTCTGCATCATGTTGAATTCATTTTTATCTCCTTAAATCAGTACAGATGTTACCAAACCTTACACACACTTTCTCTTTCATCCAGAAATGTGATTGACAATCATGCATTCATATGCACTGAGTCAGCAGCGGTGTGGCATTGCATACATGCACATCTCACTCAGATTTCAGGGGCCTCTAGCGGAGAGAGTTTTAAATTACTCCTCTGTAGACACTACAAAGGAGCTGCATTAAGCCTCAGACCTGTGTGGGTGGATGCTTGAAGGTTAAACAATGCAGACGCCTTTCTTGCATTTCAGAAACGACTTCTATTCAAAAGTCAGACGCACATGTAGACCAGTACTGTGGACAATGACATCGGGTACTGTGCGCTCCAGGGTTAGAGGTCAGGAGGTCATGCGGTGTCAGCAGGCAGGCTATTTGGCAATAAGAGACAGATTATCTTATTTTGGCAGTGATGCATGTTTGTCTATAATGCAAATTATGCATTTGTGGCCCCAAATGGCAGCTTACAATGGTCAAATGTTCTCATTGTCAAAAAGTGATGAGAAAATGAGAGGACTGTGTATGTGTGTGTGTATGTGTGTAGTGGGAGGGGGGGTCTGGATTAAATATCAGCAACAGGATATTTGTAGTTTATGTATGTGTGTAAGTGTACAGACAATCATTCAGGATATGAGATGGCTGGTGCAGAAGACTGTTTGCATCTTCTGGTTATATAATATCCAACAAGGATCAGTAAGAGGGCATGGCACAGCACAAGAGAAATGAAAGAATGAAAAACTCCCGTTCAGAGCAGCAGGAAAGTTACCTGGGATGGGTGTTATTAGATGGCGACGGGGTGTTCCTCCATGTCGAGGAGAACGAAGGACAGGAGACCTCACTGGAGAACCAAAAAACACTCCATAAATATTTCACATTTACCACGCTATATTACTCACAGTTATTTTTATAACTTTACAAAAATTGTATATGTCAACCTATAGATTTTTTACAAAGCACAGTTTATTAAAAACTTTTTATTATTACAGTCTACACCTACCCCAATTCTAAACCCAACTGTCAGTTATTAACATCTACACCTACCCCAATCCTAAACACAGCTGTCAGTCATTAAACAACTACACCTAAAACAATCCTAAACCCAACCGTCACAGTTATTAGCATCTAAAACTACCCCAATCCGAAACCAACTGTCACAGTTATTACCGTCTACACCTACCACAACCCTAAACCCAACAGTCACAGTTATTAACGTCTACACCTACCCCAATTCTTAACCCAACTGTCAGTTATTAACATCTACACCTACCACAACCCTAAACCCAACTGTCACAGTTATTACCGTCTACACCTACCACAACCCTAAACCCAACCGTCACAGTTATTATCGTCTACACCTACCACAACCCTAAACCCAACCATCACAGTTAATAACGTCTACACCTTCCCCAATCCTAAACCCAACCGTCACAGTTATTACTGTCTATACCTACCCTGCCCATCCCTACTTAATAACTTGCAATTCTGACTTTATACCTCGAAATTCTGATATAATAACTAACTTGGAATTCTGACTTAACAACTCAGAATTCTAAGTTAACTCGCAATTCTGACTTAATAACTCGCAATTCTGACTTCATAACTCTAAATTTTGACTTTTTAACTCAGAATTATGACTTTATAACTCACAATTCTAGCTTAGAGTTCTGACTTTATAACTCAGAATTTTGACTTAATAACTCGCAAATCAGAACTGTGACTTTATAACTCAGAATTCTGACATAACTCGCAATTCTGACTTCATAACTCAGAATTCTGACTTAATAATTCGCAATTCCGACTTCAAAGGCGAGAACGGGCTACCATAGGTATATGTACATTTCTGACTGACATTTCTGTATAGTTCCTACTTTATTGCAGCAACTAAAATAAAAAAGTTATTTTTTCAAAGAAAACAGGTTCTTACCAGACCGGCTTTTTAGTATGTCATAGGCTTCAAGCTCAAAGGGCAAGACCATACTGTCAAAACGGCCCAGATCTGTGGCAGGAATGATCATTCTACAAAACAGTGCGTTAGAATGGATAGTGTAAACATATGCAGGATTTATATAAATAAAGTATTGTACAGGGTGACATTGTTCCACTGCTCACCTGACCTCCCTCAGCAACAGAAGCTTCTCAGGCTTGTCCAAGATGGCCAGCAGGGGGCGCACTAGATCCTCAACCACACGATCGACCAGAAACTGAAGAACAGGTAGAGGACATGCCCTAGTTTACAGTGTAAACTTTTGGAGTCAGTGATCTAGGAGTGTTTTCAAAGCTGTAGATCATTTGTTTATATCTAAAACAGGCACTGGTTAAATTAGTTAAAGTTCTTTGGATTGGTTGATTAGACGGGGCAACATTTTATAGTAAACCAAAATGCTTGTCAGTTCCAAAATACATGTGAGTGAAACACGAGACTCTTCTTATTGGTCAGAGTCCACTTGTTTATATTTTTGTGATTGTACTCAAAGTGATATAAAAAAAAGATGGGCTGAGAAATCAGCTCTGTCTTCATTCGCATTCTTTCTAATAAATTATGTAGATTATTAATTAGAGTGGAAATTGAGGCTTTGTTGGATTGCATTCTTGTATTGCACCTGAAGAAGAGCGATTGCACAACCGTTTAGGATGAAGTAACACCAAGAGAAACAGACATTGCTGCTTTCTATGTAACGCATTTCTTATTATGACTTATGATTAAGCTTGGTTCTTTGAGTCAAATTGGTAATTGATCACAAACAAAATCCTTCATTTTTTTTTTTTTTTTTTTTGTCAGGTCAAGACAGCTCAATGAGGTCATTAATGGCACATTTTTTTGATGCAGAATTACTATGTTCAAATATGCCTAAACCATGGTTGTTAAAATTGTACTAAACCTGAACCTGCTAACTGAGGTCTTTAGACTCACTATGTCCGAAGGTCTAAGTGAGTAGCTAGTATATTTAAACATATGTCATGACCATTAGAATGTGCTAAACAGTATGAATATGTGTAGTAAATTTGGAGGTGCTACAGTATATCTGGCATGTTGTCATTATCATATGACCTGCCAGCATCAGTTGCGTTGCTTCACTTCTATTCATAAACTGCACCCTTAAAGGGTTAATTCACCCAAAAATGAAAATTACTGTATGTTATGAATTACTGAAGCAAGCTTATGTCATTCCAAACCCTTCATACCTTCATTCATCTTTACAAATTAAGATATTTTATATAAAATATAAGGTATTCCTCAACCCCTGTAAACTGCAGCAAACTTTTCAGACTCATTTAAAGTCCAGAACGGTATTAAAACATCCTCAAAACAGACAATATGGATAAATTACAAAATATCGCCAAGCTACCAGAATATTTTTGTGCCCACATAAAAAAAAAAAAAACTTTATTCAACAGTGTCTTCTCCTCAGTGTCAGTATAGGGCACACTTTCATGAGCACTGTGTAGTGATGTATAAACATCTAACCCCATTTATGTTCTTAAGGTGAACAAAGGTCTTCGGGGGTTTTAAATGACATGAGGGTAAGTAATTAATGACATAACTTTCATTTGGTTGTACTAACACTTTGTAGAATAGTAAAGTGTCCACTTTAGAATCTCTAAAGAAGTAATAGGACATCCGGGTATTTCAGATCTATTGATTTAAAAATACAATAGGCCCTGTTATACACCCCGTGCAATGCGGCGCAAGGCACGACACAGTTGTTGTTTGCTAGTTTCAGCTGGATGCAAGTGTCGTTTTGATATTTTGCACAACGCTGTTTAAATCGCGAATGCATTTGCGCTCATATGTGCGCCCATAGGCGTTCTGGTCTTAAAAAGGAGGTGTGTTAAGGCTCATTGCTGGCGCTTTGCTAATTTGAGGAACTAAAATAGACTGCATAATAGACCAGCTGAGAGGAGGTCCAGCGCAGAGTGCGTTAGATGTGCACCTCTTACAGCAATACACAAATATCTTTACAAATTAAAAAGAATAAAAGGAATTAAGTACTACAAAAATTATTTTTTCTACATAAATATAAAAACCACTGCCTGCATGCCTTCTTCATCTCAGGGGGCTTTTTCAGTTTATTCATGACAATTTGCTTTTGTATAATGTATTATTAGTAGTAGTAGTATTTATTATATGCATATTTATTTGCCCACCTGTGGGGTTTTGGACCATAAGGGGCATAGCATGTGTATTTGGATATAACTATTTTTTTTAGCACACTTTGTTATTACTGTTCATTTATTCGTTTGCTAGAAATTAGAACTGAATATAGAAATAGTTTTGAAGCAAATATTTGCACCTAACAAACAAAAATAATTATGTAGGCTATAGAATGTCTGTGTGTACAACACGTTTCCTTATATACGAAAGACAGTAAAAGTGTAAGTAAAGAATGAGGAGGCCCATTCTCTCATTCTCACACTGCAGATGCTGTTTAACTGTTCTCGGTAGTGGAGCGCTCAGTTTTTCCTCCTACAACGTTGCCATGTAAATAGCAAATGCGCTATGTTGCAACACAACTGACTCATAAAGGGAATGGGAGATAAGACTCTGATTGGTTTATTCTCAAAACACATAACTCATTAAGAAAATAAGCACAACCTTGTTGTACCATAGCAAAAGTGGATTCTGACACAAGCCCTTTTGTGCCCTGCGCTTTGGACTTTGTGCCTAGATCGTCAAAATAGAGCCCTATGACTTCAGATGTACTTCTTGGCTTACACACAGTTTTACATGCTCTATTGTAGACCTGTACAATAAATCACATTGCATATTGTTATGCACATTTGTCAATAAAGCGGGTTGTGTAATAAGCAGTAATTCACCAACATGTAAATTCAGATTAAGCAGCATTTACACGAAGCCAGAATTCACTTACAAGCTACGAAAACATATCATGTGATATAATCGTGTGATATTCAAAGCACAGGTAATGATTCTGCGATATTGACAGCTGTTTGTGTAACTTCTTAGTTAACTATGGCACTTTGTAGTAAAAGCTGCTATTCCCCTTCAGATGGGGAACTTCAATGCTATCAGTGGATTTAATTTATTAATCCACGAATGGGGATTTCGTTTCAGAAAGCCAATCGTCTGAAAGAGTATACAACGGGCCAATGTAATACCAATGAATTGGCATCGTAAGCTTGCGCACGTGTGCGTTAATGCCAATTATCTCTGCATATAAGCACAGCTGAAGCAAGTAAATGCCATTCTTTTCGCTTCAGAGACTATTACAGCCTTCTGAGAGAGTCGATGAGGGTTCCTCCTGCTGTGATCCAGCGATTTCGAGCAAATGAGAGCATTCTCCCGGTCCAGAGTGGGTACACGCAGCGGCAGACGGTCGAGCTGGGTTTCTCCCTTGCCTGGCGTTCTTTGGGTCCGGTCCTCCAGAGGGGTGCGTATAAAGTTGCAACTTCACAAAAAGAGCAACACAGTCGTGCAGCACGTCCTTTTCAGGATGGCGCTCCGAACGTGCGTTTCTGGATGCAGTGGTTTCCTGTCTTCGGATGATGGGCACGGGCTCTGCGTTGCATGCCTGGGGGTCCAGCATGTTAATGCGCTGCTCGCGGGCAGTTCATGTCGTCAATGCGATGCCGTGACTGTTGCGCAGTTAAGATCGCGGCTAGCCTTTGCAAAAGGGCAAACCACCCCAGCTGTCCCCTGCACTGCAGCGGGCACTCGGGCAGATCTGAGGGTTTCAGCGAGAGATAATCCGTTGCCCACGGGCCCGCGGACCTCCCGCTCCTCCAAGCGCTTTATCCAAGCTTCGGGCGGGGGAAGCGATCCGTCTAACCAGATGGTAGCCCCTACGCTCGATGACACCGGAGACCAGACGTCCACCGCGGCATCGGAGGGTTGGCTTTCAGTGTCCGATGATGATCCAGACCCGCTCACCCCCTCCGGGCAGGTGAGCGCTGTCAAGACGGATCCTGAAACTGACATGTTAGCCGTGCTTTCCCGGGCTGCTTCGGCCGTGGGTTGGAGATGGTTTATCCCCCAGCTCTGCGGCCAGACCGACTAGAAGGGTGCTACGTAGAGGACCAGAGGGCGAAGCCTTCGAAGCCTCTCGTCCCGTTCTTCTCGGTGGTGCACAGTAGGCTCACGCAGTCTTAAAGGGCACTTTTTTCTGCCCGTGCTGCATGTCCCTCCGCCCTTACCACTCTTGACGGTGGAGCGGCCAGGGGGTATGTGGCGATTCCTCAGATTGAGCGCGCGATTGCGGTCAATCTTTGTCCGTGTGGTGCCTCTTTTTAGCAGGGACTACCTCGTCTCCCGTCCAAAGCCTGTAAGTTATCTGACTCCCTCGGAGCTATAGAGCTTACATGGCTGCGGGCCAGGCTACTTCCGCCTTGCACGCGATGGCCACCTACCACCGCTACCAAGCGCAGGCGCTGGCCGAGCTGCACTAGGGTGGGTCCAACCCAGGCTTGTGAGCTTCGCACCGCATCCGACTATGCTCTTCGGACCACTAAGTCCGCTGCGTGTGCGTTGGGGAGGACAATGTCCACATTAGTGGTCCAGGAGCGCCACCTCTAGCTAAACTTGGCTGATATGCGCAAAGTCGACAAAGTCCGTTTTCTTGACTCCCCCATATCCCAAGCTGGCCTGTTCGGTGACACCGTCTGTGAATTCACCCAGGAATTCAAGGCGGTGAGAGAGCAGTCTGAGGCGATGGGTAATATCATCTATCATCTTAGCGCTGCTAAGTCTGGTAACGGACCGCGAAGCAATTGTAGGTTTGAGTCCATTAGCGAGAGCTCGGCCTGCCTGGTTAGCCCGGCCAGCCCTTCGCGGTGGCTCATACGCACAATCAGAGTCGGCTATGCAATTCAGTTTGCAAAACGGCCCCCCAAGTTCACGGGTGTGTATTCACCAGGTTCAGCCCCCTGTCCGCCCCTGTCTTGCGAGAGGAGATTGCTGTCCTCCTGGCGAAGGATGCAATTGAGCCGGTCCCTCCAGCCGAGATGGAGAGCGGGTTTTACAGCCCGCACTTCATCGTGCCCAAAAAGAGCGGTGGGTCACGGCCAATCCTAGATCTGCGCGTTTTGAACCGCTGTCTGCACAAGCTGCCATTTAGAATACCCACGCAGAAACGCATCCTCCGGTTCGTTCGTCCTCTGGATTGGCTTGCAGCAATAGACCTAAAGGACGCGTATTCCCATATACCCATTCTTCATCGCCACCGTCAGTTTCTGCGGTTTGCGC